AAAAAATTCAGGATCAAAAGTAAACCTCTGCACGTAGCTCTATGGAATAAACTATGAAGTTAGATCATGAAGATTGAAACTGCTTATTTCTAAAAAACTTTCGCGGCGTGTGAGGCGAAGATAATTTCAGTGAAAAGGACTGGTAAATGCTTGTTCTAAACTCCATGGTTTCTTTGGTTTCAATGCATTAAGATAAAGGTACGAGAACCTTGGTAAGTTAATGGCTTACCATGACGAATGGTTGAAAAAAAAGAGCTTTTGACAAACGATGGTCATGGTAGTTAATATTCCAATGAAATCATCTACAAAAATAACTCACGGAACTTGTAAAAAGTAATAGGACAGCGAATCTCATTACGGATTCATGTTTCAATTTCAGGAGAATGTCATGATCGTTGACAGCCCTGGTGTAGGAGAAAGCGATGTCATGAGTAGTTTTGTTCTCAACTACCTGCCGCGGGCCTTTTGTTTCATGTACGTTCTCTCTGCGTCGAATGCTGGAGGAATTCAGCCCGACAGGGTAAGGACAAGGATTACTGGGTATTACAAACCTAGTCAGAACTCTAACAAAATTCTCGAACGTGATTGGTTATCATCAGCCCGATTTGAGCATTAATAGGACAGTGTACACGTCATGCTTGTAATTGGACATTGTAATAGGAAAGTTAAAGGGACAGTTAACACGTCATGCCAGTGTAACTGGACAGAATAGGGCGCTGGGTTAACTGTTGCTTTTTTTATGAAAGCAAATAACCGACGTCTAGTTTCTTCCTCAAATTCTGTCATAGTTTTGATTAATTGTTAACAAGTCTTCGTGTCGTCCAATTCTGTCCGTTATCATACTCGTTTTTTATTAATTCATATGATTACAGATCGAAATTGGACTCCACTCGGTCCTATTATCATTAATAATCAGTTTAGAGGAGGTTCATTAAAAGTGGGCTTCACATCCACAGGAGAATGACACCTAAGAATGAATACTGTTTTCATCATTGCTTTCAGTGATTCCTTAAAAATATAGGTTTTGCTAAATCTCAGTTTCAGCTTAGAGCAATGTTTTAAAATGAAAAAGAGATGTACACTAGCACGCTAAATAAAAGAACGAGCTTTTAACACACTAGCTGCGTGTAAGTTACTTTCCTCATTAACTTCGCAGGCATTGTCTTGCCTCGCACGGTAGAAACAAAGGAACGTGTTAACATCTAGCTCGCAACTTTGCACGATATAACACGGTGACCGTGCCAATTTTATAGCACGCTTTTCAAAATTAAAGTTGCTTTCGATTTGTACAAGAAGTAAGTCCTAAGCTTTAAAGCTTTTTAGCTCACCGATACGCCCGGCCGATATACGATACACAGTATTCAGAGCAAGTAATTCGCCAAACATAAAGGAAGATCTCGAGTTGTTGTCCATTATTTAACACTGTCTTTAAGTTTCTTCATTTTCGAATTCCACATTTTCTTAACAGCTTGCAAAACACGGGCCGAACGAGCAAAATCCTCTGCTCTTGAAATCGTGCATGAACTTTTGAAGGTAGCAAGCACAAGCTTTTAAAATAATAAGAGCGAACCTACATGATGCAAAGCAAATGGCTAAAGGGTAAACTGTGCTCTCACCGTATCATCAAAACTGGCAACACAATTTGCTGATTGGTTTTTAATGCATTGCAAATACACATTCTTCTTCACAAAAATTATGAAGTATTACTTGGGAGGAAGGGGAAGGATCAGCATACATGTACATGGGAATAACCCTTTTATGATCCATCAAATATTTTGGCGTGCGCGCGATTGGTCTAAACACACCACGTGACCGAATATCATCCAACTAAAACTGGGTGACATTCAAGCAATATCCCTCGATTTTCAAACCTCACTTCCGCTACGGTAAGTCTTAGTTTCAAATTAAATTGGAGACGAGAGAGGGTTTTGTGGTGGTTAGAGAAGAAGGGAGATTTTTTTGTTCATTTAGTCGTATTAGAGAACACTTAAAAGAAAACATCCCAAGCTGTTCGTAATTTTTTTCCACGCACGTTGCAAAATATTTGAAGGATAATAAACACAATAGCCTCTATTATGCGCTAAAACATGTACTTATGTTTGTACTTGGACATAATCTGTTCCTCGAAGCTCACAATTTTCCTCGAGCTTCGCTCTCGGAAAACTGTTCGCATGTTGGAACAAATAATGTCCGCGGACAAATATCCGTGCATATTTTTGCACCACATAGAGGCTATTGTTTATATAGCGTAAACAAAGGTATTTTCCGAAATATCCCATCAGCAATTGGCTCTATATTTGCGAGCGCAGGATAGCTGAAACATTTCTTGTCAGACCTTATTTTCCAC